AATCTGTAAGTGATAGTTTAGCTGAACAGATAGGGTATACTGTTTTACGTCTTCCTCGATATCATTCTATACTCAATTCCTTACTTTTAAGTCCGAGTGTGGTAAATTTAATTTAATTAATTTAATTAATTTAATGTAATTAATAACATACCTGTTGAGCGCTGGAAACATGCAGTATAGCACATTTTAACAATTGAAGTGTCTAATTTTTGCATATTAAATAAAACTTTTTTGAATAACTTGCATATATTTAATGTCATCGCATTTTTTATTAGTGCTAATGTGATTTTATTATACCCGAATAAATAGAACATAATTTTCAATCTTTATATTTTTAAAACAATGTCGACTGGGCGGTCATGTGTTTTCTGACTGTTTTTTCCGTCAAAAGCCAAGACAATATACTTTGAGACAAGGTATACGATATACTACAATATTTCGAGCAATAAATGTTGTCTAAGATTGTCCTCGTAAAACCCGCCATAACACAAACGACGACATACGATTTTTATATTTGTAGTTTTTATAGTTGTTGAACAATCGATGTCATTCACAAAAACACACTACTCGACCGTTCTGTCGCGCGCATACGAGACGACAAAAATGTTAATGTAATAATTGAGACTGATGTATTTTAAACTGCGGCCCCGCGGAATTCTGTTTGTTGAAACTGTGTTGAAGGCTGAAGGTCAGACGGACGAATGAAACAAACAGACATCGCGAACGAAAAATGAAATATAATGCATCGCGTCGCCGCCGCGTTGTTATACAAAGTCGGGAAAATTAATTATCTGCGGCACTGAATGTTGCAAAAACAAATCGGCAACGTGTTTCGCACTTTTACAGGGTGCGACGGATATATTGCTTACATATTCATATAAACCACACCTTTATTTAATAATAATAAGTATTTTATAATAAATTATGCGTTTGTGATGTTCAATTTACCTATAACCCTTTTCAAGGACTGTCCGAATACGATACTTAGCGATTCGGGGAAATAAAAAAATAATAATAAATAATATTTAGGTCAATTGACACAAAAAAAATTGATCGGTCAATTCCACAACCCTGTATTATTTTTTTCATTCTTTCCTGAAAAAATACAAAGCATTAGCATTAAATATTATTACTAGTTATTAATCTTATTGTGAGCCAAATTCAACATATTTTATTTGGAATATTTGACATTAAAAAATATTTAAATATAGAAAAAGACCTCCCGAAGACCTACTTCCGAAGTTTTGGCGTTGTGTGCTTCCCGGTATATTGAAGCGTATTCAAACACAACAACAAAACAAATTTGTTGCTTTATATATAAAATATATATAAAATCACATTTCTTCCAAAACTAAGCTAAATTAAATTTCTCCGACCATCAAGTTTTCAAAAACCGCCTACCATCAAGTATATCCGGCAAGCACTGCCCTTTCCATTTTTGTAGGTAATATATGTAAGCAAATTTATGAATTCTGCTTATGGCGCTGTCTCCCTTCGAAGGTTGGCGATTCATACAGCCAATCGAACCTTTGACACTGCTGTCCGGAATATATCCATCGAGGTGCAATTGAACCATCGCCACGAACCTTAAGCCACGAGTTCTGGCGTCTACCCACATATCTTTTGCCTGGTATTTTGCCCTCCAGTATCAGGCGCAGAATTTCGTTTCTCACGCAATACATGCCCTTCTATTTATTCATCCGTCTCAGTACTTCTGCGTTTGATACTTTCTCCGAAGGATACGGCGGTAAATATACATATGAAAGGCTTCCAATCTCTTCTCCGTAACGGTGTCAACGGTACAAACGTACAACAAAAACCGAGAATATGTAGCATCAAACCATTCGAATTCTGAGTGGAAGGTTCAACTTGTTTCTGCAAAAGAAAGTTTCCATTGCGACAAAAGTTCCTCTAGCTTGTTCTATTCGAGAATGTGTTTCTTTTTTTGAGTTCCATTGGTCATTCAAAAGTGTTCCGAGATATCTAAAGCTAGAAACTTATTCATTCTTGGTTTCCATTGATCCTCAAAATTTCTGGTCGCCTGTTTGGCTTTGCCACCACCACTAATTTGGTTGTATCAACATTCATTCTCAGACTAAACTTTTCGCTGACATGGACAAATCGGTCAATAATACGTTGGAGGATCTGGATATTGCTTGCCAGTATAGCAATGTAAATAGCGTCGGAGTAAAGATTAAATAAGAGTGGCGAGGATACATCCTTGCCTGACGCCCCTTCTAATACTAATGCTCTCTGATACTTCTCCCTCCAATCTGACTTCAGCTGTGTGATTCCAGTATAGCTGGGTTATACAGTGCATAAGTTTCTCCTATCATTGCCAGTCTTTGGAAGAATTTTTATCATTTTTTGAATCTTGAAACTCTCAAATGCATTATGATAATCTATAAAGCATACATAGACGTCTACGTTAATATCTCGATAACCGAACTGAATTTCGATAATCTGTTCCTTACACTTTTGGTATATTCTCGCGTGTATGATTTTTAATAATATTTTAAGGATATGTGACATCAAACTAATTAGTCGGTAGTAATTACACTTAGTTGAATTTGCTTTTTTTGGTACGGTGACGAATGCTGACTTTAGCCAGTCCTGAGGAATTTTGCCCGAAGCATACATTGAGTAACGAGACCAGCAGATCAGCGAAGACTCTAAGAATTTCTCCATGGATACCATCTGAACCGGTTGCTTCTTCATTTTCGTGTAGCTTAATAGCATATAACACTTTGTTCTTACCAGTATCTGCTCCCTCTTCATTGGTGTTGCCCGTTTGTATTTCACTTGGTCTTTCATCGTTAAAGAGTATTTTCTATGTACTTTTCCCAAGTCTGTAATCTTTCCTGCGTGTCCAGTACCAATTCATTGTCGTCATTAAGCAAGACGTGCACTTGATTATTGCTGATGTTGATGTTGATGATCTTCTACGTGTCATTTCCTTTACTCTTTTGTGCATGTTGAATTATTAATTTTAATAAAAAAAAACGGAAACTAATAAAAAGGAAGTATTTGCCTTTGCTTCCGTTTCCATCCTTCGCAGTTTTGATAACCGAAAACCGAAGTTGCTGGGTAATGACATTTACTATTGAAATTTACGAACTGCAGCGTTTCAACTGGAAATTTTACCTTAAAATTTGCAGTTTCATCCCAATGTTTAAAAATTTCGTCTCTTACCTACAAATTTTACGCGACAATTTCGAGTTATACCTCGAAACTTTAAAATTTTAATACAGGGTGTTCTCCATAGGTTTCCATATGAACAAGTTATTTCTTTGTAAAAAACACAATACATTTTTTTATATATCTTTTTAGAATAATTGATAGTGTGGTCGACTGTGTGCCTCTGCAGAATGATTTGGAGATTATGGGTTCTTGGTGTGCTTCTAATAACCTACCCCTGAATAAAGATAAATGTTTCGCAATGTACATTTTCAAACAAAACTTATACTATAACTTTTATTTACCGTCTGGATAACGTATTATTAAGAAAAAGTGAGTTTTAAAGACCTGGGTGTAACGCTTGACACAAAACTCTCCTTCAGAAATCATGTCGATGAAGCCTGTTGAGTGAGAAATTCTAGAGATTTTGCAAGGGAACATATGGTTCAACGGTGTGGCAACCAATATTTGGCAAGTACATCACTCAAATTGAAAAAGCGCAGAGAAAGTATCTGAAAATTCTTCACTTTCATGTAAAGGGTTTCTACCCGGCTAGGAAACTGCACTTTGCACTTCATTAGCGGATTGTCCTGAGTTGCTAAGCCACCTGAACTTTCATGTTCCTCCAAGGATTATAAGGGTATTGCACACAGTAACTCCAAGAACCAATTTTTTGATTAAAGATGTTCTCTATCAGTTGATGAAATTATTTATTATGACTTCTGTAATGATATTGACGTTGTTTTTCTGAATCGCTCACAGTTTACCACATTAATTTAACGTAAATTTGAAATATTTACTATTACTTTGATGGAGTGAATATAGATGAGACCTTATTATAGTTGTAGTTATAGTTCCTAAGATCCAATTGTCTTCTAATCTTTTAGATAATAAAGATTAAAGAAAAATTAAATTAAAATTAAATTAAAAAATTAAAAAAAAAATCACTGTTATTTTTGCAAAATAGTAAATATCAAGAATTTTATTGTATTTAGCTACAGCATAATGTTATTTGTCATTTGTTTGTTTTAAATTATTTGCATTCATAAAAGAAGTATTCTTCCTTTTTTCTGCAATTGTGCAATATTCTTTATACACATACATAATATTAAGCTATGCCCTTCATGGGCATGTGCAACATTGATTTTTTTTTTTGGGAGGTTTTCAAAATAAAGTGGATCCCTTCTTGGCAAGAAATAATTGTTTTTTTTTTTCACAGAAAACCGAATTTTATTCCAGGCAAAATTTGACTGACTTGGTGTTTTTTTAAACACCGGTTATCATCCAGCAGCTTAATATATAGTCAGTGGAATATGATCTAATGCGGGCGTCATTCGGACTGAAACGGTACGCCCGAAAAGCTGGACCGATGTCAATTATAATTGTAACACACGCGGCGGCGGCTAATTGGCTGACTTTTTGCTCTATTTCTAGACCGCCGGACGCCGTCCTTGTCCGCCGCGTTCTCTCTCTCTCTCTCTCTAGATGCAACAACCAGCGTCGTCGTCCATTAATATCAATAATTGCCGGTTCGGTTGATTTACGTCGAGGCTAAATTAATCACAGGGTTTCGATGACGACAAAGTGGGGCGACGGTTTTTTTTTTTTTATTTTGCACTTTGCACTCGCCTGCTAGTTGCACGCAACGGCCAGTCGATACGAGCGTCAAAGTGAAATATACAGGGCGCCTGATAAGGAAACAAACTATATAAAATGAAAAACAAAAAAAAATCGAGAAGCTTAAGAATTATGTTATGAAAAAAACTGTTCAGTCTTTTAACACATTTCGCCTATTTAAATCGTAGGTAATATGTTGTACGTACTTACGTTACTTAAATAGTCTTCGTTTCACAACACTAGTGACCTGCAACAAAACAAAATACTGTTAGTGTTAGTGCTTGACCTGTGGCACTTAAGTGGCTAATAGCTAGGACCTTTAAGCAATTTTATGGAGAGAACTATTCTATAACTGAGTGTTCTCCGGAAACGCTTTGATACCAAAATAAGACAGTTAAACCCATATATACCTGACTTTTATATTTCATTATTTTTGCAGTTATAAAAAATTACTTTACTAATTTCAAACATTTAAAAATAATTTATTTAGAATGATTATTTATGCACAAAAATATTCTTAGTTTGTGGATATGGTAATACAATTTTTGGCATTTAACTAATATTGATTGTTTTTTCTCCTGTTCAGCTTTCCCAGGATATAATTTGGAATTTTTTGGATCTAATCTACCTAATTGTCCTGTATGATAATAATGTCTCAATTGGAGTGGCCAGGTCTGGCTTGCAGCTACTCATATCTTACCTAGTTTACTCTAGTAAAGTTACCAACAAGAGAATATTACAAAAAAAAAACAATATAAGAAACAAGTTTTTGAAAACAAAACGTATATCCATAACATTGCCATTGAGAAAATGATGGAAGAAAGATATAAAAAGTAAAACAAGAAATAAGATTACGATCTTGCTAGTGACATAAAACGAACGCACCAGAGAAATATTACAGAAACCGCGTCCAAAATCATTCAAAGCTATGCAAAAAATCCTGCAGATATACATTTTTAAAGAAACTTCCACAGACTTCTTACACATCAAACTTGTTCAGTTCAGTTAAACACTGATGCTTGGCGAAAGGTCAGCAAGTTTGATTTATAAACAACGGAAGATTTGAAGATAGTAATATAGGTGTACAGTTTTATAAAACAGATCTAAAGCGAACGAAGTGACGTGGGGAATAGAGTTGAATTACTTTACTACATCGAAACTAAGCGATCTCTGAAACATGGTCGTTCTGTGCCTTTGAACAGGTCAGAGCCTCTGACTAGCTAATCTATTGTGAACAGGTAATTAAAAAAAAATCGAATTTCCAAACTAGGGCAATTAAATTTATATCAAAGAGCACAGCACTTTAATTTTTGGAGTCTTTCTCAGTCTTCACGCAGAAGATATAACACACTGCAGTATAACAATCTAGACAAAATATTAGTGACACATAGTTTCAATTTCCCGGGACGGGTAAGAAAATTTTAACAGACATAAGGTCTTAAGTTTAACTTTGTTGTGCGAGAAGACACGTGAGGTCTAAATTTCACTTTGTTATACAAAAAATGCCCAAATTTTTGTACGAAGTACATACAGGAATCCGATTTATATTTATTAATATCATTTAAAGCAATATCGTTGCTATTGCCAAAACGACCTGAGATTTAGATGTTACGGTGAGGTTTATGTGCAAGGGAGATGTCACTTACAATCTTTAGATAATGGTTTATTTGATGTTCGGCAATGTTAGCAGAGGTGTAAATCGAAAACAGTAATCTTCCCAAAACGCTACTTTGGGACACCCCTCGAACCACGTCCAAGAAATCAGAGTAGAAGAAATACTTCTTCGTTTCAACCGATTAAGATCAAATGCAATCAATCAAAAAACATTCTTTCTTACAAACTCTTATCCTGTGAGTCTGTACATTCTGATCGAAACAGGCTACTCCTTTGATATGTCTATATTTGATTTGTTGCTCTGGAATAATTTGGACAGTGGATCTCGTTTAATTTTATGTTGCCATCAGTCGAATCATAACTTAGCGATATTTTGCAACTCAGCTTATTAACTGACAAAACAATAACGTTTTTATCGTCAAATCGACTAATAATCTCAACTTCAGTCATAAATGTAGGTGGATTGTTGTATATGATTAAATCTTCAACTATAATATCATCACAGAAAAAAGAAGTATAATATCTATATGCTACTGCCATTTTAAAAGAACCTGCAAGAGCACCAGCAATATTTTCATGAAAATATTATCACTTAAGAGACTAATTCAATTAAAAAATTAAGGTCTCAATATGTTTAGCATATTAAGCTTTAAGCTACCACACCAACAGCAAACTAAATGTGCCTCTTGCTAGGGTCTTCAAACATAATTTCCGTGCAGTAACATATGCGCTTAAGTATTTTAAACAAGCTGGAGGTTATGGACATGTAATTGGTTATGTACGTTGTCAAAAAAAAAACGAACCTTGACACACTCTCTAAAAACGCACATCAAAAATCGTAACTTAATACGGATAAAATAAAAACGCGTTTTTTTTGACTGTTTTCGGAGCATTTAATGGGGATCATACGGCGTGAGACGACTTCCACCGAACCAATCCCAACTTAAATCAAGATGGCCTTGGGCCATACCAGCCGCGAGATGCAGATACATACGCAGGATCCGGTCCGTCAGCTAGGCGTACGAGCGTCAATTCGACTTGATCTAGATTTATACGAAATACCTGTATCTATTTTGGTTTTAAAAGAGAAATTTTTCTTGTAATATAACAGAACTTTGGTAGTTTAACACTTCTCTTTCGAAAAATTGTATTGTAAAAAAAAGGATGCGATGAATTCAACACAACCAGTGTTAAAGTGCTTCGGCATCTTATAGACTTCGCACTAGAATTGTAAAAAAAAATTTTTTTTGACTACAAAGTCGGCACAAAATTTACCTAAACCCAACAGCGTCTTCGATGACGTCGATAAAGGTTTATTTGGTATGGATTATAGAAACATATCTGGTGAATCTTCTGAATTTTTTAGCTACAGCTTAATTTTTGCTGTCTAAATATTCAAGGATGACCTTTCGAGTATTTCACTGGTCAAAGTTAAAAACTTCAAAAAAATATCAACTTAAACTCGAAAAATAATCCATTCCATGAAAGTAAGTTTCAAGGAGTAAATTCGATTCCAAAAATTTTCAGAAAAAGCGTTGGTGTACTTTTGTTTATCAAAAATGTTCAGTACAAACTCCTTATGGATTACCTGGTAGAAATTAAAAAAAAAATTAAAAATATTCTACAATGATTAAATGGTGTGTATGAAAATAGAAAACGGTTTTTTCCAAAAACAACTTTTCTTCTTAAAATCAATCCAAAAATTCGTCCCCTAAGTAATCAATTAGTATAAAACCAGTGGATATAAAAAAATATTTTGACCGATGACAGGATTTAAAGCGTCTGATGCCAAATATGACCACTTTATTTGCTTGTACACATTCAAAGATGTTGCTAACGGATTCTGCGGATCACAGCGCAACGTTTCGCGTGTAAATGCTGTTTCGAATTTTAGACGGAATTATAAATAAAATTTACGACTCGCTCTAATTTAAACAGCGCTTATATATTTTAAGCGTGAAAGGACCGAGTCCAATTCGCAGGCTCTCAAATTTGGAACAACGCTGCTGCTCCGGCACCCAGCAAGTAAAATAAACGCAACCAGCGTTCTACGTACACCCCGAGGAATTTCGGTCCGGAAGCTTTAAGCTCGCGTAGTGTTGGTGTTTGATGTATGGAACGGTGAAGAAGAAAAAGAGAAGAAGCGAGATTAAAAAAAAAACGATAAAACGTTTTTAAAAAGTGCGTAGTTCGTTTTGAGTATTTGTTACTGACTCTCCTGTATTGAGCCATTTCAATTATTGTGAAGTGCCATATGGACCTTGCCTAGGTAAAACAGACAAAAACAGCAAAAAAAAGCACACCCTTGCCTGCGACATATGTGGTACCTTCAGAACTAAATATTGAGTTACATTAGCTTCGAGGTTCCTATATCAGTATGCGGATGTGATGATACGTCAGATTTGTTATCCGACGTGTGTAATTCGAACGGCATACCAATCCCAAGAGATAAAAAAAATAAATTGCTTGGAGTAATTGGTGAGATTTTATTGTGAGTTTCACAGAGAACTATCGATTTTGCTTGTGTCAAGTTTCGTATTTCATATGGGATACTGTTCTGAGGTTCCTCCAAGCATGCACTCAAGACTTTCAGAAAAAAAAAATTAGGTACATTCTCAAGCGGCATCCCAGAATTTCCTGCGAACCTTAATTTGACACCTGGCATTTTTACTGTTACTTCTCTATATTATTCGTCGTTGGTTGTGGTGTGATGAAAAATCCTAGTCTCGTCAGCAATAACTTTTATGCCAACTCAATGACGACTGTCATATGGAACAGGAACGAACTCATTATCCCTGTAAATAACTCAACGTTATTTGAAACAGTTCCGGAAAAGGGCGGTACTGATACATCAGACTTTTCCTAGTTATTCGCACCTGAGACCAATACCTTTAACCAAGTCGGTAATGAAAACAATTATTATTGTAATTATTGTATTATCAGGTACTTCCTTTTTCAAGTATATAAACCAATTACCAATAACCTCATCCCTTTGTCTTACTTTGCCCGTCGATAACTAAGCCTTAAAAATACTATGCAAATCTAGCCAAATGTCATACAACATAACCACAGATGTTAATTAAATTAAATTAATATGCTTTTAAAAAAATACACTCAGCTCCAAAATATATACGAGGAGAGTCGAAAACTCGACTCCACATAAAAAATGACTAGATTTTTATTTTCCATGGATAACCAAGTAGTGTTATTCCAATTTTTTAAAGGAAATAAAACAGGGAAAATCAAAAAGGCCACAACACTTTTTTTTATTTTATACATTGTTGATGTTTCATTATGTCACCTTCTTTGGTTGTTTCTTTCAATTGTTTCTATGTAAATGGTTTAATCGCGTGACTGAAACACATAAACCATTATTTAAAACCTATTCTGTTCGCTTTGATGTGTTTCTGTAGTTGACAAATCGGTCTTCATCGCCAACTATATGTTTGGGGCGCTAGCAATTTAAAACTGGAGTTTATATTTGGACTTATTGAAAAACTAGCCAAGTCCGCTCATTGTGCGCCAATCGGTCAAGGAACTACGCAAGAGCGAAGCTTCGGAACGGAAATCACCTCGGGTGCACGTAGGAAGATTTCTAATAAAATAAACGCATCCCAAGCCTGCTCTCGCGGC